AAAACGGCCTTTTGAAAATCCGGTTTCTATCGGCTACTTCAGTAAGTCGAGTAGCTCGTTGTTCATGTGTTACTGTTTTTCCTTAACGGGATTTTTTTTTTCACTAAATATTTGATCAGACAAGTAAATGGAATCAAATATCAAACAAAAGATGAGCAAAAGATTTTAAAACAGGAAAAATTCTGATGTTATGAAAAAATTTGTGATGTCTTTCAAAAATTAGTAGTAGAAGAAATTCTGATTCTCACTAATTATTAATCCTCACATAACCTCATTTCTTTTAGGTAAAATCCAAAAATTTGTAAATTATTAATCGTTTGTACGATAATAAAAAGACAGATAAAAATCCATTTTCAAATTTTATTATATCTCGGCCTATTTAAAACATTATGAATAAACCATAATAAAATGTATCATTTCATTCCTACTTCCGCTAATATCAATAGCAAATGTCAATACTTTGTCATGATTTTTATTACAATTAAAATTTTCATAATAATAAATTCCATAATAAACTTAAAAAATTGAATTTATGTAAAATATTTTCATCAAATTTATAATTAAAATATTTTCATCATATTCATAATAAACAAACATAATTAAATTGAATTTATATAAAATATTCCACCAAAAATTTATAATTTAAAATTAGAACTAAATTACGCCATAAAAATTTTACACTTTAAAATTTATTGTCATTTAAGTGTACAAAATCCATCCCACGTCACTTCTGTCATCCTTTTTTTTTCTCGCAATACAATGAAATTTCAACAATAAAGTATGTCGTTTTTTAGTTATGACGCTTAAATACCTGTCTAAATTAAATGCCGAAATAATAAATCAACCAATGTTCAAATAATTACAATATTTTTTGGAAAAAAATTCAACAAAAATTACCGGTGAAATTTTGTAATGAAATTAATTTAAAAAATATCGAGGAAATATTATTATTGTAATAAAAGTAATTAATGCCCAAATTTAACGTACGATGGAAATTTGTCTTTTAAATAAAATTTATAAATAAAATTCAAATAAATAAAATCCAAAATTCGAGCAAAAAAAAAAAAAAAAAAGGTTGTCGTACCGAGAAATCTACTGAATGGATTCCTATCAATGGTTCGAATCTCGACAATAGCTCCTTTCGTCCGCTGTAAACATGAAATGAGATGTTGCGCAAGAAATCCGCTACCACCTGTTATGGCAACAATTTCTTCGTCAATCATTTCTTCACAAACTGCACTTTCAACCAATTCTTACTGCTACTTAAATAGATGAATTACACCTAACTTCTAATTAATTTCACTCTTCTCCACCCTTTTTCCTTCCTCTCTCTCTCTCTCTCTCTCTCTCTCTCTCTCTCTCTCTCTCTCTCTCACCATGTCCTTCCGTCTATAAGTTCATTTGAAACTCTTTCTTTTCAAAATGTCAACACACTTTAATTTTGATCATTTCACTGATCGAATAGAAAATTTACCATCCATATTGCATTCAGTATATTAAATAAAATATTTGATTTAAATGTTCAATTGGAGTATTTAATAATTTAAATGTTCAATTCGAAAATTTATTCCTATCAAATTTATCAATCACGGTCGTACACAATTTCTTAATTTGTGAATAAACCGCACAAATAATCGATAGAAAAGATTTCCATTTTGATGACGTAGAAAAGAGTAAAATATTTGATAATATTTTATTTCATAGATTAATTAATTTGTATGCATTTAATTATGAATAAGAATTATTTACAAATGTCACCAACATTTCGTTCATTTACAATGACCTCTGAGAGGAAGGTGGAAATCGAAAATGGAATCAGAGAACTTCAAAGGCATTCGGATTCTAAAATTCTATAATCGATGATTATTAGTGAACATTTACATTTCATTCCAATTTTTAACTTATTTCTGCCACTTTTTATGATTCCAACAAATTATCATTTAAATTTAAGTTCATTTTTGAAATTCATGAATTTGAATACGCGAATAAAAAAACGACAGTGATAAAAAAGTAAAACATAACAAAAGAATAAAATAGTGACATTTGTTTGTAAAAAAAAAATTAGAATATAACAAAAAAAAATACAATAGTGACATTTTGTTTGGAAAAATTGGAAATCGAAACTTTTGTAGGCATTTAATTATAAATATGAAAAGCAATCTAAATTTTCACTTCATCAGACACGTATCAATATCACGTCTCACGTCAAATTTTTCTCATTTTACGCTGATCAATATTGGCTATTTTCTTCACTTTTTTCATTACAGTTTCAGGTTTTTCCAATAAATCTATCGCATAATTATAAAAACAATTCTGAAACCACCATTTTTTGATATCCGGAATTATACGAGGCCCGGCATTGTTACGGTGGAGATATTTGCACAGTTCACAGTAAGCGTTTACAGCAAATGTTTTTTCATAATGCTTCGTCCATTCCAAATAACTGAAAAAGTTTGAAGGGAAAAAAAGAACAAGGAAATCGACAAACAATTTTGCTATTCAATTGAATATGAAAGAAAACAATCATAATTAGATAACAGTTAAGAAAATAACTCAATAATGATATACTTCATCGTAAAAATCAATAATACTATATTTATCAAACGACAAATAAATCAATAATGCTGTACTTCATTAACAAAAAAAAAAAAATCAACAATAGTATAATGCATATTTATGGATATCCTTTGATATTTCATGCTATTTAATTAATGATCTACGATTTTTTTCTCTTTTTTGTTTTTTAAAAATCATTTTAAAATATTTATACCTCAAATAGGCTGTTTTATTATTTGATAAATATTGCAGATATTGTGCTAATTCACGTGGAGATGTAAAATCATCAGCAGCAATAAATGATTTAGGCGGTAAAATATCTTCATAGATGGATTTTTTGAGCACAACAGGTATCAATAATCTGAGCAAACTTTTGAATAGTTTCTCTGTGATATAATCACGACATATGCTATTCTCGAATGCCAAATAAAAGCGATGCTGTGCTGTAATTTGTAAGTAAAACGTTAACAGAAAATTTTAAAACCAAAAAAAAAATAAAAACAGAAAAAATTTTAAGCAAAAAAAAAAAAAGAAAAATTAAAACGATAATACCAGCTTCACGTATTTCACATTCTTCATTACACGTACTATTGTTGCACAGACCATGTTGCGTGATATTTATGTATTTTCGAAGCTGATTTACATATAGTTCACGTTTCGATCCAGTGTTACAATTTGAAACTAATTGTAAGACAGGTCGTACTTTTTTACTGGCTATTTCCATTACCTTTGAAGATGAAAAATTTTACACAAACAGTTTTTTTGTTATACAACTATGGAATAGAACGATTTGAATGGTTTAAATAGCTAGAAATGGAAAAAAATCTCGAGAAGACCAGTGATTGCATTTGTATATTTATCATTCCAGTAAAAAAATGACAGCATAATTTTTGATGTTTTAGGTCATCATAGTTTAAATCATTTTATCATATCAAAAAAAAGCGCAAACTTCACTCCAATTCCAAATTTGTTCTCGCGGCGTGAGATCGGTTATCTTTTTCACTATACCGTATGGTATGTAAACATCACTATCACGTCTGTAATATTGTTAATTGAAATTTTTGAAATATTATAATTAGTATCGGAAGTAATCCATCAAAATTAACTTTGTTAATATATTTTAGTGAATTAATATAAATCCACTTTTCCTGAAAATTTTTGGATAAATTCTGAAACATATGAATCAAAGATGTTTCATTTTAACTGGGATTACATTCAAAAAATCTGCTTAACGGTCCAAATTTCAACTAAAAAAAAAAATTTCAATGTGGAAACCTATAAGTCATCGTTATGTTGAAATAATCGTTTTTTACAAAATCCAGATAGTTAAACGTGTGTTGAGGTGATTCTTGTAGCACAAATACAAACAATTGCTTCGAATTTCTTATTTCAGGTAATTTATTGTTTAAATCTCGGATATGAAATAATACAGCTGTAGCTTCCGAGAGTTGACTGAAATAATCAGATCAGATCATTTTATTATCCTTTCATTACTAAAGGAATACCTTTACCGGTGTAGCACCGTATCAAACTGTGTCAGATCTTTTTTTTTTTTAAATTAATTGTAATTAGGAATTCTTTTTTACTTTGAAATTCATAGAAATTTCTTCCATTACACTTTAATAGAGAAATTTTTTCACTTGCAGTAGAATTTTTTATTTTTTAAGTGAACATTTAAAGAGTTTATAATTCATTTTTATAGCTTCTTCTTG